CCGAGAAAGCGAAGCGCCGGCCCATTGCATTGTCTTGAGCCCTGGGTGCGGTCGGGGCGGAGCCGGTTGGGGCACTCTGGGGGCAGCAGTAGCATAGAATCCTAGAACCACAGAGCTGGAAGAGACCTCAGGGGCATCGAGTCCAGCCCCCTGCTCTAGGCAGGACCAACCCAACTAAATCAACCCAGCCAGGGCAGTGTCAAGCCGAGACTTAAACACCTCTAGGGATGGAGACTCCACCCCCTCCCTAGGGAACCCAGCCCAGTGTGTCCCCACTCTCCTAGTGAAATAGTTTTTCCTAATATCCAACCTGGACCTCTCCCACCACAACTTGAGCCCATTGCTCCTTGTTCTGCATCCGTAACCACTGAGAACAGCCTCTCTCCAGCCTCTGTGGAACCCCCTTCAGGGAGTTGCAGGCTGCTCTCAAATCCCCCCTCACTCTTCTCTTCTGCAGACTAAACAGACCCAAATCCCTCAATCTCTCCTCGTAGGTCATGTGCTCCAGCCCCCTCAGCACTTTGGTCACCTCCGCTGGACCCTCTCCAATGTGTCCACGTCCTTCCTGTAGTGGGGGGCCCAGAACTGGACGCAATACTCCAGATGTGGCCTCACCAGAGCTGAGTAAAGGGGACTAATGACACCTCTGGATCTGCTGGCAATGCTCCTCCTAATGCCCCTAATATGTCATTCGCCTTCTTGGCTACAAGGGCGCCCTGTTGACTCATGTCCAGCTTCTCGTCGACTGTAAGAAGTAGTAGGTTGTGCTCTGCTGGGGACCCGCATTCAAAGCGCAGGATTCGCTCTGCCCGAGGGCTGCGCAGCCGTCTGGCGGGGAGCCCCCGGGTGCTGGAGGGGAGTGTGCTCGAGTGGGCACAGGCTTTTCTGCTCAGTCCCCCCCAGCTGGACTCCTGCTCCGCCCCCTCGCCCTGCCCCTCCCCTCATGCAGGGCGAGCTGGAGCTGCTCAGAGAAAATGGGGTTTTTTCACATGGGCAAAACGTGTCTTACCAGCCGCGTTCTCCGAACCAGCTGGAAGCAGGGGCCTTCCAACAGGGAACGTCAGACACCCGCGGACCAGGCACTGCTGCGGTTCCCCCATAATACACGCCCCCCGCCCCCGTCACCCAGGCCTGCGCGTGGGGGCCGGGCCGCGGAAGACCTGGGTGCGGGAAGACGGAGCGAGAAAGAAAACGAGCTCCCGTTCCGTCACTTCTACTTACTGAGTCCCACAGGTGCGGTCCAAAGCAGGGCCGTAGAGGGGAAACTGAGGCACAGAGAAAGCCCCACGGGGTCACTGCTTAGAGCCCCCTGGCCGAGCCCCTCGGTCAGCTCTCCCCTGGGGGCCGGGCCGCGGAAGACCTGGGTGCGGGAAGACGGAGCGAGAAAGAAAACGAGCTCCCGTTCCGTCACTTCTACTTACTGAGTCCCACAGGTGCGGTCCAAAGCAGGGCCGTAGAGGGGAAACTGAGGCACAGAGAAAGCCCCACGGGGTCACTGCTTAGAGCCCCCTGGCCGAGCCCCTCGGTCAGCTCTCCCCCCGCCTGCACAGGTACGCGGGGCTTGCCTTGGGCCGCAGGTGGGAATTGCTGCTTTCGGAGCTGCAAACAGTGGAGTCAGAATCGTCCTGTTCACGGAGACGCTCACGGCCTGTGCCTCTCGCTGCAGAGCGGGGGCCCAGGGGCGCGGCCGTTGCTCCAGACTCAAATCACGGCTCTTTAATTTCATGGGGGGCTCAATCCCGGGAGCGATTCCGCCCCCATTGTGAGCCAGTCGCCTGCGGCACCTCGCAAGTGTCCGTCCATCCGTCCGTTGCAGCAGCCCGAGCCGAGCCCCCCAGCTCTGGGGAAATACCCCGATTTCCACGCTCACGCTGTGTCTGGCCCTGGCCTCCCAGAGTGAATTTGGACACGTGGGAGCGGCATGTCACGTCGGCGTGCGTGTGTGCGCACGTGGGAGCGGCATGTCACGTCGGCGTGCGTGTGTGCGCACGTGGGAGCGGCATGTCACGTCGGCGTGCGTGTGTGCGCACGTGGGAGCGGCATGTCACGTCGGCGTGCGTGTGTGCGCACGTGGGAGCGGCATGTCACGTCGGCGTGCGTGTGTGCGCACGTGGGAGCGGCATGTCACGTCGGCGTGCGTGTGTGCGCACGTGGGAGCGGCATGTCACGTCGGCGTGCGTGTGTGCGCACGTGGGAGCGGCATGTCACGTCGGCGTGCGTGTGTGCGCACGTGGGAGCGGCATGTCACGTCGGCGTGCGTGTGTGCGCACGTGGGAGCGGCATGTCACGTCGGCGTGCGTGTGTGCGCACGTGGGAGCGGCATGTCACGTCGGCGTGCGTGTGTGCGCACGTGGGAGCGGCATGTCACGTCGGCGTGCGTGTGTGCGCACGTGGGAGCGGCATGTCACGTCGGCGTGCGTGTGTGCGCACGTGGGAGCGGCATGTCACGTCGGCGTGCGTGTGTGCGCACGTGGGAGCGGCATGTCACGTCGGCGTGCGTGTGTGCGCACGTGGGAGCGGCATGTCACGTCGGCGTGCGTGTGTGCGCACGTGGGAGCGGCATGTCACGTCGGCGTGCGTGTGTGCGCACGTGGGAGCGGCATGTCACGTCGGCGTGCGTGTGTGCGCACGTGGGAGCGGCATGTCACGTCGGCGTGCGTGTGTGCGCACGTGGGAGCGGCATGTCACGTCGGCGTGCGTGTGTGCGCACGTGGGAGCGGCATGTCACGTCGGCGTGCGTGTGTGCGCACGTGGGAGCGGCATGTCACGTCGGCGTGCGTGTGTGCGCACGTGGGAGCGGCATGTCACGTCGGCGTGCGTGTGTGCGCACGTGGGAGCGGCATGTCACGTCGGCGTGCGTGTGTGCGCACGTGGGAGCGGCATGTCACGTCGGCGTGCGTGTGTGCGCACGTGGGAGCGGCATGTCACGTCGGCGTGCGTGTGTGCGCACGTGGGAGCGGCATGTCACGTCGGCGTGCGTGTGTGCGCACGTGGGAGCGGCATGTCACGTCGGCGTGCGTGTGTGCGCACGTGGGAGCGGCATGTCACGTCGGCGTGCGTGTGTGCGCACGTGGGAGCGGCATGTCACGTCGGCGTGCGTGTGTGCGCACGTGGGAGCGGCATGTCACGTCGGGAAGGGGCTGTGTGTCCGTGTGCAGGGGCTGGCCTGAGGGGGGCCGTAGGCCATGGCCCCTCCGCCTGACTCCTGGGCGAGGTGGAGCAATGGGAGCAAAGCCGGGGCGCGGCCGCCTGGGGGCCGTGAGCAGGCGCTGGGAGGGCAGGTTACCTGGGCGGGGTAGGATGAGGAGGGCAGACTGAGAGCAGGACGGGGGTTCGGGGGCCCCCGAGGGGAATAAGGCGCCTGCTCTCGGCGTCTGTGCTAACACCGTTTGGCTTCTCCCCGCTCCCGCCCCCGCCCGGCATTAGTCCTCATGGCTAATTGGCGGGGGCGGGCGTGATGAACGGCCCCTGTCCCTGCGCCGGGGCCGCACGCTGAGCGCTACCTGCTAGCGGCCGGCACGCCCCCGCGGCGAACAACCC